CCCTGCGAAACCCCTCAATTTTTTTTACAAATTGAAGTTGTTTTGTGTAGTTTACAATTCAAAATTTTTTAGAGATTGAAGTTCTTTTATGTTTTCTTTTTTACAAATTTTTTTACAGATTTTTTACAATTTTTTTTACAAATTACATTGATAGATTAAGACATATAGGCCCTTAGAGTCAGTTAATACTTGATATGCAGTAAGCATTTAAGCTATGTTAGCCTTTAGCCGGTGGTATTAGCTCTTGGTTACCTATTATTGATGAATTCAGAGACTAGACCCTGTTTAGGAAGTAGTGAATGTTAGCAATTAGCACGAGATGTTTGTTGAAACCCCTCTAGTTCTTTTTACAGATTTTTTACACGTTTTTTTACAAATTTTTTAGAATTCAATTGATTCCCCTATTTTGAACCAAACACGAACAAAGGAAATTCTATTCTCTTTCCTGACCAAACAGACAGAGTAATTCAGGGGTAATCATTCCCTTCCCCCCCGATTCCCTTTCCTGTTTCCTTTCCCTTTAGTGGTTGTTGTATACTTGTATTCTTTTTGGAATTTCAGTTTGGGGTTTAGCAAGTGAAGGAACTGACCCTCGAACGCTCTACATAATGGGGGAGCGTATTGTCCTTCGCCGAGCTCCCTTTTTCTTCCGGCGGTTGATCGCTGTTCTTGGCGTTGAGAACCCGCCAAGCTCCGCCATCTACCTGCGTCGCTGCCTCTGTTCCTCTTCCACAGCCAAAGCTGAGGCAGAGAAAGAAGCCGATACTGCAGATAAGAAAGACAAGTGGTTCACTCTACCTCCATACACTTTCTCTATAAATGGCGCTGCTCTTGGGAAAGAGCTCGCTGGAAGGCAATCAGATACTAAGTGCAAAACTGCCACCACCATGACGGCCTTGAAGTGGGTTCTGCGTTGCTGCCCTGAGTTTCCAAGGTCTCTTGTGCAAAAGCTGTTTCGATTAAGACAGGTCTATTTTTGGTTTCTATTTATTTTTGGCGGAATTTTCGAATTTGTGTTGATTTATTCGCGTGTGTTAAAATCTTGAAATGTAACTTCATCTCTTGTGTTAAAACGGTTTTAATTTTAGATCACACGCCATATTCTGAGTTTGAACTGGGAAATTAGCATTACATATTTAAGCTGATTCTTGTCATCCATATGTGATGTTCTTGATCTTTACTACCTGAGTGCATATTTTATGTAGCAATATATATAGGGTTGGATACGAGTTAAAATTTCTGAGAGTGTCAAACAGATACTGTAATAATACATTTCTAAGAGGAATGTCTTCTGTTTCCCAAAGGAGAATCTAATAACCGTTAGTGGTGCTTTTGCGGCAGGTTCGAAGGTTATCCTCTCCTGATCAACAACCTCAATGCAAGAGGGTAAGATGGAACCTATTGGCTCTTTAGATTGATTTTCTTTCCTTTTATACAAATACAACTTATTGTAATGTTCACCTGTTCATTTACCTTGAAGCGATGTTTATAGTTGATAATTATTTGTGTTTGTGTGAGTGATATGTCATGCTTATTGAAGGTGAATGCTAAGGAGCCGATGCACATAGGGGATCAAATAGTTCTTCCTATAACTGTTGAAAAGTTTCCTGCTGAAAAGAAAGTTGAGCACTTTTGTAGTGAAGAGCAAAGAGAGTTCTTTCAAAGTATTGAATTGTACAAGGTGTGGAATGTATGGTGGATAATTAGTCACTACTACCCTCTATAAATGAAAGTGAAAAGCTAAATGCTATTAATTCTTGAAGCCAAGGGAATGAAGCAAAACCTTTACTCCCATAATTGTCTTATTCTGTTCACCTCATCATATTTCAGGATCCATCTATTCTTGTTGTAAATAAACCGCCTGGGATGCCTGTTCAGGTAACTTATGAACTTCAATTTCTCACTTTAAATTATAAGTTTAAGAAATTACAATTGTAAAAGCTAATGGTCTGTTGTACCACTTGTACAGGGTGGTGTAGGCATAAAAAGAAGTTTAGATGAATTGGCTGCAAAATATATGAGATATGGCTATCCAGAGCCCCCTCGTTTGGTATGCTAAAAGTGGTTTGTCTCATATTTTACTGTATATATGATATGGTTAAGGTTTGTGTGTTAAAATTTTTATCACCCCCATCATGTATTTGGCTTTTGCTTCCTAATCATATTTGTCTCTTTCGAGCATTATTCTCATATTTGTGCATAATTTGTTGTGGCCAAGCTGGTTTCTATTGTCTCTTTCGAGCATAAATCTCATATTTGTGTGTATGTTGTTGTGGCCAAGCTTATTTCTAGGTACACAGACTAGATAGAGATTGTAGTGGGATATTGGTGATGGGAAGAACCCAATTGAGTGCGACGGTTTTGCATGCCATCTTCCGGGAGAAGACATTTGAAGCATCTAGTGATGTATGGGTTTTGCCATTTTCCTATCTGAATAAGAAACATCTGAAGACATCTGTTTCATATCTTCTTTTTAACATGGTCCTGTTTTCAACTCTAAAAGGATGCTGAGCGTACAAAAAGAAATTTGCAAAAGAAGTATTGGGCTCTTGTAATTGGTTGTCCTAGACGTGCTGGAGGAATAATTTCAGTGCCTCTGGGAAAGGTGAGTGCACACCCTAGATATTTCTCACTTAAGTAATGTTTGCCAATCTTTAGTATTAGAATTTCTTGTGTTCAGAGAAAGTTATTCTGTTCTAAGTGCTTGGCATTGAGATTCTTTGCAAGAAATTAACTGAGAAATAAAGGATATAGTCAAATAATGTATTTGGAAAGAAAACTCACACTCACACATGAATGTTTGTATGTGTATATGATGTATAGAGATTGGACCACATGAGAACCATGTCCTGTAGGAAGTAAGGACAAATCTGAACTGTTAGCGATTGAATAAGAAGGCTGAAAATAGCAGTGTATGGTAATGACACTTCATAATTCCATCCATCCAATCCAAATCCATCTGCTGTCTCCAGATTTTTCCCTCACATTGTTAGAAGTCATTTCAGGAGCAAACATAGAGTCAGTTTTGAAGAAGCGTCAAGCTTGTTCCTCCAAATTTGTTGATTATTCTCAGATGCCATCCACAAATCAAAAAGTGATTTAATTCAAAGTCCTCTTTGGAGGACTAAAGTTAGCTTCCAAAATCGTATCCAAACACCCCCTAATTTTCCCATTGTCCAGGGAAGTGAAACTTGAACAGTCAACTCCCTTTGGTAGTTTCCAATTCCTCATTTTGTATTCTGCTGTGTGTCACTTATGTATAGAGCTGGTAAACATGTCGGCCATGTGGGGTTTGGTTTTCAAAAGCATGTGTGAGGCGTGTCTGGGCACAGTGATTTCCTAAAGAGCGCCCTTCATTGTGCCTTCGGTCAGTCACACGTCTCAAAGAAGTGCTAGGTTTGTTTTATTCAAAAAAACCACATTCATGTTGGGTCGCATATTGCACCCTCACCTCAATCTTGTAAAAAACCCCGGGTCTTCTTCTTCATGGAATCTTCTCCCAGGTATTCTGTTCTAACTTCTTCGCTTCTACTGCAGCGTCTCCTCCCGTAATCTTCTCAAACCTCCTCTCTGTTCTTCTCTAGTTTCTTTCTTCTCAATCGCTTTCCAGATTTGAATGTTTTTTTAAAATATCAACTGTTTTTATTTCTATACTTTTATTTCCTACTCCCTCCGTCCCTAAATATTTGCCACAATTGTATTCTTGAGGTAAAATATCAAGTTTTTTCAATTCATTTTATTTACATATTGGTATAGAAATAAAAAATAAAATTTACATATCAAAAAACTACATGTAAAGTTCTTCGAAATAAGAGGTGTCAAGAATATTTTATTTTATCAAATAACCAATGAAAACGTAGAAATAAACAAAAGTTCCCGCGACTGCTGAAAAAGCAAATGTTGTAAATATTTTGGGACGGGGGGAGTATTATTTTTAAAATGTAAGATACCAATACAATATTATTAAAAACTAGTTAGAAAAGATAAATTTATACAATGGAATGGAGTAAATAATAATAATAATAATAACAATTATAATTATAATTATAATGATAATAATATGATAGCATGATTATTTTCACTTTATATATCATACTAAAGTAACGATTTTGTAAGCACCTTACCTTAGCCAGTCAGTCACCTTGGGCTCGGGTTTGGGTCAGTCAGATTCGATCCGGTTTTAGTGGGTTAGTTGGGGTTTTGTCATGTTCGGGTTTGATTTACAAAATCTTTCTTTACAACCCAGGACTTTTGAGTCGGGTCCGAGGAAAAAACAAGTTGAACCAATTTTTTCCAGGTCTACTTTGTGTTACATAACTACAAAGCTTTCAGAAACTGTTTGCATATTTTTTTCTCCATTCCTTTTCAGGTGATGGTGGATAATGGGAAATCTGACCGTATTACCGTAATGGATGATGGCCGTGCACAATCAGCACAATGTGCTGTGACAGAGTATCGAGTCATTGAAACTTCTGATAAGGGTTAGATTTTTGGTACATGCTGAGTTTTTGCTTGTCTGTGTTCACTTAAGCCATCACAAATCTGTAAATCTTGTTGATATCACAATGAAAAAATCTGCAGGCTTTACATGGTTAGAGCTATCTCCTCATACTGGCAGAAAACACCAGGTATGTTTTAATACACACAGACTCTGTTGTTGCATATTCTGCCAACAAACACACACACACAGCATGCATGAAATGATGCTGAACACTGACTGCAATTGTTATTGAAGCTGCGGGTTCACTGCGCTAAAGTACTGGGAACGCCGATTCTTGGGGATTATAGATACGGGTGGCAAGCTCATAGGAATTTGAATAAGCAATATCTTCCCGAGCAGAAGTGGGGCCCTCTTGGCTTCAATATGAGGAATGGCAGCGTGTCTGATAGGCAGCAGCCTCCTCATCTTCATCTGCACTGCAGAGAGATGGTTTTGCCCAACATATCTCAGGCTTTGCAACAACATGCTTCAGATGACACTTTCTCAGAGGTCGAAAACATAAAGCTCTCTGCTCCTCTCCCGCCCCACATGCAGCGGAGTTGGGATCATTTGAATTCTTAGCACCCATTTGGTTTAGATTCACGATAGTCGTTTCTGTCAATGCTTATCAAGAATCCAAACTAATGTGTTCTTTCTAAGCATCTTACATTTACTGCTTTACATGGCATGAAAAACTCACATAACATTGAGTAACCAGCAACATTGTCATATTCAATTCTTTGATTATTAATGTTGATTTTGCATGGGTATGTGTGATTTAACAACCAATTTTATTGGAAAGAGTGAGAGCATAATGACTTTGCATGGGTATGTGGAAATTAAACATCCCCCCTTATATTATAAGGGCCTATGACGTTTGTTGCCGTTACTTTGGCATTTTTTCCTCACTCTAATACGGCACTTGTGCACCTCTTCTGTCCCTCTAATGCGGAGAAACAACATCTCCACCTCTATCTCAAAGTTTCTTTTTCCGTCTCTACCTTTGCCCTCCTCACCGTCAACCGTCCATTATCGTCACAGTGATTACACAAGTGTTAATTTCCGCCACTTTTTCCTGTGGATCTGCTGTGATTCATCCAGGTAATTCTTCTCTCTTCTTCTCCTCCTTTTGCGTGTCTTCTTGTCGCCTCCTTTCTCTTCTTTTCTTCTCCGCTTTTCTTTTTTTTCTAAGAAAAAAAGCATACCTCTGTAAGCCACCATGTTGCTGCTTAATTTCTTTTTTACGCTCAAATATTTTATAAAATTAGGTTTTGTTCTTGCATCTAGGAATTGATAATCACTCTAATTGAAAGTGTTAAGTTTTGTTTATATCTCTTGCTATTTTCTTACATTCACATGTTCAATTTCTAAACCTATATGCATGCAAAAGGTTTGCATTTAGCAATTGATTGAGGTCGATTTTAAATTTGTTCACATGCTCAATATTTGAACCTGTCTGCAAGTAGAGTACTGGATTTTAACTTTGTTATATCTCTGCTGCTTAATTTCTATTCAAGAAGAATTAGAGCCTTGGGAAAACAAAAAAATCTCTCTTCTTTCCCTGACAAGCCTTAGGAAAACATAAAACAACAATTGTCAATATGCAAAGGACACATAAGGTGCAAATTTTAAAAATATATACAAATTGAATATCTCAAAACCTAGATTTTTTGGCTTTATTTCAAGCTTACGATAAAATTGAGATCAATTTATCTAAACAAAATAGAGATCAACCTTTGAAAATGCACTAATGCCTGAAGTTTTTTTCCTTCCAATGCATGTTCAACACCAAGGGTTGGGAAGGATCAAAACTAACAACTTGACATAAACTTTAGGACATAGTATATTCATCAGTAAAATCTCTATAACAGAATATTTTGTTAAAATATATTTAACAATTTGTGGACATTTAAATCCAGAAAATTTTCAAAGAACCAGAAGGAAAAAGAAGTGCTGACTTCACCCCCACGTCTTTAACCACTTAAGGTCCCCCGCTTCTATACTTGTTGATTTATAATTCCATTCTAGCTTCTTTTTAACTTCCATGTACAATTCATAATCATTTCTGCTTTTTCCAACTACTCGCCTAATATAACGACCTCTAATGAATATTCCTACCCAAGCACCCTTTAACTCCACTATGTTTTTTTCTTTTGGAATGCGATTGCTTTGCTACTTTTATGTGTGTGATTGCATTGGTAGCTTCTTTAACATCAATACCTAAAAAACATCAATATGCTTTGTGCATTTCAGTTTTGTTTGGTGCAAAAAAAGGTCGTTCTCACCTTTTGCCTTTTCGCTAAATGAAGACTGCTTCTTTGGGTTTATGTTGTTTCATTTTCTTTTGTTCTGGTATACCTTTTTACTGCTATCATGTTCCAAATTCCCTTATTCTAAAAATATTATTACTCATGTGCTTTAGACAGCCCCACTCCACTGTTATTAGTACTATCATGCTTTTATTTATCCAGGACCTAACATACAAGATAGAGGGCCAACTACAACTTCAAGAGCATGGACCTATTCCATACTACATCGGATGTACTACTTGCAACCGGAAAGTTGACTTCGATGAGGGAACTACCTGTGATTGCATGCGGTGCGGAGACAAGGAAGCAACAACAGCAAAGAGGTTAATACTTTCATCATCTACAATATACACAACGCTTTCACGTGTTACTCGACTCTAACACAATAAAAAAAAGTTTAGAATTTTTGATGAGATAGGCGATGAAACGAGAACGATACAATTCACCCTCTTCACAGAAGATTTGAAAAAAATAGCAGGATCGCTTGAAATTAACACGCCATTGGAATTGATTGACACCAACATTGTGAACAAAGGTCTCAGCTCCTTCCTCATCACAGCTGCTGTCAAGTTACAACCAGCCACATACCAAAGAGGGGATAAAATATTTTCATTATTATGCCTCCATTAACTCTCTTACCAACACACAAAGAGTGCACTTCTCAAGAGAAAACAAAGAGCTGAAAACAATCATTTGAAAGCATCTGGCTTCAGCAATGGAAATACTATCCGTGATGAAAATGACCTGATAACACATCACTAACCCCTATGCAGGTCATTTTCAGATTTTGTCAAATAAACTCTAGCCTTAACTGCCTGTAAATATATGTAAAGTCATGTTCACATAACTTTTTTGTCACATAAGTTGTATGACTCTAATCAATAAATTAAAATACTGAACCCCTCACCCCTTTTGTGAAGTAAAATACGGGTTAGCTGCAGGTAGGGGTGCATACAAATCAAATAAAATGTATTCAATTCGTGATTCGTATTCGAAAAGGATGATTCGTATTCGCTATATTTGAATTTGAATCCGAATACAAATCATATTTTAGATTCGAATTATTTTCGAATTCGAATACAAATATTAATAGATTCGATTCATTTATTATTCAAATTATTCGAATATTATAATTTATAAATAAATTTATATATATTCTAATATATTAAATATTTTTGTACATATTCTAACATATTTTAATATATTAAATTTTTTTGTACATATAAATTTATATATATTCAAATATTATAATTTATAAATAAATTTATATATATTATAACATATTTTTACTACATTTTAAAGTATTATAAAAAAATAATATAATGTCTTTAAGAAATCTGTTTTAAGAAAAAAATTACTAATATTTTCGAATTCGAATATTCGAATACGAATTCAAATACGTCAAATATCTATCGAATCGAATACAAATGTTTTTTAAAATTCGAATTATATACGAATCCGAATTCGAATCCATATCACTTTAATCGAATACGAATCGAATAGTGATATATTTGCTTCGATTCGATTCGTATACACCCCTAGCTGCAGGTAAGCTCATATTCACTTGAAAACTGTATCTTAAATATCTATAAGAAATGGAAGCATTTCTTAACATGCTGGGGCAAACACACACGAAGTGTGTTATCTGCTAGTCCAACTATATGGGGGTGTCGTGATGTTATGGTCTTTGCATTGGGGTGTTTGTATAGTTGAGTCTCCATATTTTGTATAAAAAAGGAGCTAGCACTTTTGTTTATGGTAATATAGCTGACCTAATTAAATTAAGATAGAAAATGTGCCTTTTCAAACTGGCACATTTCTACATGCTCCTTGGGCATTGCATATGCAGAGATTTCCAAATCTTTAGAATCATGTGCCAAATAATTCATCCCCTCCAAAACTTCTCTTTAAATACCGAGTCGGAAATTGGATGTGTGTCAAATACACTATACATATTGCACTACGGATCCACCAATGGGTAACTTACAATTCATATACAAGAAATGTGAGCTATGGTGAAATCCCTCTTTGTGCATTCTTTAGTGTACTTCCTCTTTGCAAAAAAAAAAATATTCTTTATTCCTTTGTATGCAATTCCATTTACAATGATGCAATAAACACAGATTAAATTCTAAAGACTTGACATCTATAGCATGATTTCTTAGAATTGAGTTAGAAAGAATGTAAATTTATGCATTTGAGAGTACATCTTTGGTAACAAATCAAAACCAATATGATCAAACAAATTACAGAGAACATTTTCTGACTATTTGATTAAAATCATGGTGCTTTACGATTAGGGAAGATAAACTCAACTCGGATTGTGAGCTTGGGTAATATTGGGGGACTAATTAAAGACTACAGTTTTGTTATTTTTTTTATGTAAATTAAAAAGAAATATCGTAAAATCATAAAATTTTTAATACATAAATTGTTGAAAAACTTTGTCAAAAAATATTTCCTTTTGATTTTTTTAAATGTGAGAATTTTACTACAAATTAAATATATTTTAAATAAAAAAGGTGTTACAAAAAGATTTATATTCAAGTTATGGGGTATCGTGTGAGAGCATGATGAACTTTGCATGGGGAATGTGTCGAATGGGGGGCCAACTTTATGGGATACTGTGAAGGCATTATTATTATTTACTTTAATAAACTGTATTTTTATAGGTGTATTAATTACAAAGATTTAATTTTTTTGAGAAATGTATTTTACAACTTGCATATAAATATTGATTAGAGTGTCATTGAGAAGTGTTCCAAGATTTTTAAATCTTTGCACGATGATCTTTTCATGAAAGAGTGTGTTAAATGGACGTTGTAAAGACAACTTTTCTTGATTTAATAAGTTGTGTTTTTTATATGTGTATTAAATGTAAAAATTCATTTTTATTGAGAAATGTGTTTTAATGATTGCACATCCATTGATTAGAGAGTCATGAGAAATGTGCCAAGATTACTAAATCTTTCCATGATGGTCTTTGCTAAGGAAATGTTTAAATTGTAAAAAAGAGTTAAATGTAGACAGAGTATTCATGGAGAGACGCATTAAGATGGTAACCCAATTCAAAATATTGATATCCCAAAAATTTGTCAGAGATTTTTTCACAAGTGCTCATCTTGAACAGAATCATGATTGGGTTCACATAATGAAGTGGCATTAATCATCACTTGCCAAATTATTTTATTTGCAAATAAAATATTTGAATCATTCTTTTAGTTTCTACGATTAGATCTGATAAAAAAACTACAGAGATATCCATAAAAAATCATGAACTCATGTTATACACTCTCTGCGTTCCCAACTATTTGTCCAATTTTGACTCTTTATAGTCAATCGTTTTCAATCTTTGACATAAACTTAAATAAAATATATATTTTATATTATATTAATTATATAAAACAATCTCTAATACGGAGTATCTAATATAAATACTGTATATAATAAACCTATTTTTGTATCA